AGAATTTTCTCGTTTCTCTTGGTGTTTCTCTCGCGTTCTTCTCTGTATTTGTCAATTGGTTTTAGCCTGCAGAATAATCACTATTCTGCCCGCCGTCAAAAATTCAATTTGCAATTCAGCCTTAAACTTTGTCTGGTATATCTCCAAGCAAACAACAGGTACCTATCATCTTTCTAAACTAGCATTGAGAATTGGACTAAACATGTCCAAAACATCTTGAGTAAAACTTTAGCCTGTCATGTATGGTACCCAGGAAAATGCATAGCCTTGTGAGCTCAAGTCAGGAGACCATAGCAACAAGAAGAACCTGGATCTTCAATGCTAAAATATAACACCTGAAACTCAAACACTAACTCAAGCATTCTGAGCTAAATGCACGAGTTTATGATAACAAAAAGCAGGATCATCAATTTTAGCACACAAGTCATGCATTCATAAGATAAAATTACCACGTAGAAATAACAAGAATTAAGAAAGCAAGTGACGAAAATTCAGAACTATCAGTAATGTGATCAGAAGAAACTACAACAATAGACTGTAACACATACTAAATTACCATATGAACTTTTAACTCTTGTAGGTGGTTTTCTAAACAATTATAGTCAAGGTAGAAAGCATCCTATGGTCCTTACAATGATAATAAAAGTACCAAAATCTCATAATAAAATTGTCATAAAAAGATCAATTGCCAGCCATGCCAGAAGTGCCTTGTGGGATGTACTTGTTGCCAGCTTTCGGATTTGCAGGACCACCAGAGAATTCACTAAAAGCCATATTCGACGTTGAGCTGCTGGCACCAGTTGCACCACCTGCGCTCACTTGCAGAGCAAATGAAGTCTCCATAGAGTCATCAGATTTTTTTCCCTCACATTCATAAGCCTTAAAACTGGTCACTACTATCTGCAATTGGAGATATAATGCCAAAACAGACATCAAGTATTTACAAGAACATTAAATACAGTAGGTAGATGCAGTAAAAAAGCAGTTGTCCTTAAGAACTGACAGACCTGAATGGGGGAGGCAGCAATTAGCGGACCAGCCACAGAACCACCCAAAACCCTTCCATCACATCCAGACAATATAACACTTAATCCACCAGTTCTGCTTTTCTGATTACCAACTTCCAACAGCTTAAAGGAACCAGAAAGGGACAAGATATAAAACTGCCCCTGCAGAAGGACATAAGCAATAATCACGAAAATTCCATACTCAGAGATTCACAAGAACGATGAATGATTGAATGGATTATAAGTTCGAGCAATATGACTAACGAAGGTAATCAGATAACGATGATTATGGTATATCCTTATCCATATCTGCATGACATCTGAAGTAAAGCATTGTATAACTCCCTACAATCAAATGCAGATATCAGGTAAGCCCGTTTGCTAGTTTAGCTTAAGCACGCTTGGAAGCTGAGGTTTGCACTGCATTAAACCAAAGTTTGATTGATCATTGTTTTTAATGAGCTAAAGGCGTGTAAGCCTTGAGCAAACTTGGTGTGTGACCTTTATTAAAAGCAGCAAGTTTATTCTACGAGTGCCATTTGTCAAGTCTCATGCTTTGAGCTAAGTAGCATGCCTCCTGGAACAATTCTTAGGACGACTACTTGTTCTCTGTTTCTGGAATTTCTTTTATCAAACCTCATTTTCATAGCCTACAAAGTTATTAGTTTTTTTATGTTCAGTTAGAGCTCAACCCTAATAAGTAAAAAAAAAATTGGATATTTGAGAAA